ATATATAGTTTATATGATTATATATGATTATATAATAATAGACAATATATTAATCGTAATATAATGTGATATAATTAATATATTAATATATAACTTACTGTCTAATGCATATTTATTAATATATGAATAATTAATATATATTGATATATAATCAATGAGGTGCTCTTAGTTATTAAGCACCTACTGTGTACAGGGTTTTGTGTTGAATGTTTTTACATCACAACTCCACAACCCCACTGAAATATTATTATTGTCCCCTTTTCCAGATGAGGTAGGGGGTGCTCAGAGATGTGAGGTGACTTAACCACAGTCACTTAGCTAATGTCAGCAATGGGACCCAAACCCAGAGCTGTCTGACTGCAAGGTCCATATGCTAAAACCTGCCTAGTAACATTGGCATTTTAAATCCTAGAGAAGGAGAAGGAACTGCTGGTTGTCCCTCTCGGGGGTCTCCTTTTCCCAGCATCCTAACCTCAGTGGTGGCAGCAGACTCCTGAGAGGCCTGGGCCAGGTCCCTCCATCCACCCCTCGCCCCACCTGGGAAGAGCCTGGATCTTGTCACCCTTGTCCAACCCCGGGATGACCCCACGGCTGCGTAGTTAGACTTCGCCAGGGGGCCCGGGACCTCCCTCCACAGCACTTAGTGGGAGAGGTCCCGGGTGGGCAGGGGAAGCAAGAAAAGGTTCTTCACAACCAGCGGGTGGGTTAAAATGGACAGAAGACTACAGAAAATTGTCCTAGAGGGGGATAACTTCTTTTTTTTTTTTTTTTTAAGAAGGAAAAGAAGAAAAAAAAAGGTGGTATTTATAGTTTCTGTCATTTCTCCCTCGTTTAAAGAAACACCATTCCAGATACAGCTGCTTCAATAAATAGTCAAGAAAAGAGCAGCCAGGATTCCCACCTTCCTTTTTCATCTCAGAAATCCACGAATGTGGTGCTCTTACCAGGACACCAAGGAGACCCACCAGGACTGTATGCTTCCGGAGATCAGTGTTAAGCAGTCAGAAGGTTCCAGTCAGTCGGGGGGCGGGGGCAGGTGCAGCATCTGTGAGTAGGTAGTTACCCCGGCCAGGCAGATTCACCCAGAGCCAGCGCCATGGTTCCCCGGACTCAGCCACCAAGGGCCACTGTCGTGATTTTTGTTCTTTCCCAGAACGTGTGCCTGCACTGTTATTTTTGAAAATATTTTCCTTTACATCGGCCTGAACTTGACCCTCTTGTTTCACCCCATGGCCTCCTCCTAGGCAGGGCTGCCCGTGAAATCCCAAAAATGAGTCGCATTTTTTTTTTTTTTTTTTGATTCTTCAGCTCTTAAAATAAACATAGTCCCCTGAATCTGGAAGCCCATGGAAAATCGGCCCTCGCTTGGGGAACCTGTTGAAATGCATCCGCTGCATGGACATAGGGACTGACTTTTCTGAATGCCTTCATCCATCGACAATGGAACGAAAGGGTGGGGGGGGTCCCTGGTCCAAGAGGTCAGAATAGGCTGAGGGACACATGGCCGAGGCATCCGGAGACGGAGGGGGCCCGGTGAGGCTCATCCCTCTGGAGGCTCCTGGTGAGAGGCGGGGGCGAGTTGTTGTCTCTCATCCTCGAATACCTCCCCCTTCCTGCTCGGCAGATCTTCCCGGGCGCCGAGGGCTGGCCGCTGCCCAAGTACCTGGGCTCCTGCGGCCGACTGGCGGTCAGCACCAGCACCAGCCCGCTGCGGGACTTCTACGGCGCGGCCCCAGACCAGGCGGCCGACCTGGCCTACCAGCTCCTCGGTGTCCTCGAGTCCCTGAGGAGCAATGACTTGAACTACTTCTTCTACTTCACCCACGTCGACGCGGGCACGTTTGGCATCTTTAACAACGGGCATCTGTTCATCCGGGATGCCAGCGCCTTGGGCGTCATCGACAAGCAGGAAGGTACCCAGCATGGGCCTCACTGAGCAGCTGGTAGAGGGGAAGTCAGGGTGACAGGGGCCAGGGAGGGGTGACTGGGGTGGAGGCGGTCGCATCCTGGGGCCGTTCCGGTCTCCGTGTGTCACCGTAAGAGCAGCCCCAGTTCGTAAAATGTCCCTCTTCTCCTTTTGAGTCTGGGCTCCAACTCCCTCTCCAAAGGGGAACCGGACTTGACCTTGTCCATGGGGGCCTTCTGCCCCGCGGCCCCGCCTACACCCTCAGGGCGCTGCTGGTGTCCCAGGCCGTCTGTGTGGCACACGGGGCGCCTGCCCTGCCCGCCTTCACACAGGCCCCACCTCCGGATCCGCCTCCTCGGAGCCTCTCTCTCCGATGCTTCTAGCCTTTATCTGAAACGTCCCTACCCGGCTGATGCCCTGGTCCACGGTGCCATCCGTCTGGGCACCTTTGCTTTTTCTAAACTTTCCAAATGAAAGAGCATGGCATCGAATGTGGTATATGAGTGAATCGGGTTTCTCCCCGCCCGCACAGGCTCAGCGAGCGTTCTAGAACTCTTTGAGCATCCCAGTCCCGAGCGGTGACCACATTTTCTGAGCCCAGTCACAGGACGGAGGCTTTTCTTCTCTGATCTCTGATTTTGCTGATATGAGAAGGCCTCCGAAGACTGACCAGTGAAACCGCACTGACTCATTTCCTGAGTTGCCTTTCTTAAGAAGAATCGAGTCAGAAGAAATGAGGCTGATGGCAGAATATTGGGGCGACGGAAACCACTGTGCTGGGCAGTCCCACTGGCCCCCACTGCATGCATATTCTGCATCACCTGCTCTTTCTGCTCTTTCTCCCAACGTTGTACTCCACATGGGCGGATGAGACGGGTCCTAGGCATTTCCTGCATTCACTCCTTCCACAATAATAACGGGAGAATCACAGTGTGGGGGTGAGCCCTACAATTAGAAGCCCAACCTCTGGCGGGGATCAGTGCATTTTCTATGCCGTGGCCTCCTCCTGCCACAGCACAGAGAGTCCCTCCCGTGTTGTCCTCAGCAGGGACCACTGTGTCCCCAAGCTCTAAATCTCCTGGTGACAGGAGATGCTAGGACACTAAACATTCATCCAGCAATTCTAATTAGTGGCGCTCCCCCCCTCCCGCCCCGCTCCACTCCCCTGCAAGGAGCGCAGGTCGTAGGGTGTGTAATATTGTGCATCTCTCTTCTAGGCAGCCCGGCAGCCGCCGGGGCAGGAGAGAGTAAAGACATCTTCAGCTGCCTGCTTTCGGGCTGCCAGGCTGAGCTGCCCTCCTGCTACACCATCCCGGAGAAGCAGAGCTTGGTGCTCGTGTGTCGGCAGCTGCTACCTCGACTCCTCCTGGGGAAGTTCCCCTCCCCGGTGCAGGAGGAGATAGACAGGGCACTTGCCCAGTGTGGGGAGGGCGCCCACCCCGACCCCGAAGTGCTCAGGGCCGCCAGCCGGCTGAAGGACATCTTGAGGCCCCTGAGAACCTGTGACCCCAGATTCGCCTACCGCTACCCAGACTGCAAGTATAATGATAAGTTCTGAGCGGCTGGAGCCTTGCCGGCCTCCGGGGACAACGTCCCTGGCCCTCCCTTGCCCAGGCGGGTCGCTGCAAGGTTGAAAGAAGCAGCTCCGTCCTGGGACATTCAGAGAGAGGCACCTTCATTTCCCGGGAACGAAGGAACACTCTGACGACCAGAGGGGAGTCGTGCCGCACAGCACGGTTGCCCCTGCTAGCTACAGCATCACGGAGAAGCCCTGGGCTGGGCCGGAGAAGACCCGACCGCAGACACTCACTGGATCTCGCTGAGCCTCAGTGTCCTCTGTTCTCCACCAGACTCTTGAGTTACTGAAAGAAGACAGGGATGTGAAGGGCCAGGGACACGGGGAGGTGGTTACAGAGAGTGTTCCGGAAACATGCGCAGGCAGGACACATGGGACAGAGCCGTGGAGGTGGAGGCTGACATGGAGGGAAGGCAGGGGGAAGGTGAGGTCCCTGGCCAGGACCGTGTCAGGCTCAAACATGAGGGGCCCCCTTCTTGCTCCCTGGGCCCTCGCACTAGCCCTCCCGCCATGCTGCCCACACTGCCACGGAGTGAGGAGACGGCAGGCCAAGGAAACACGTGGACAGGTGCACAGTCTGGGTGCCTGGGGTCCCGGGTGCTCCTGTGAGGCACCTCGTGGCGTGAGAAGGAGCCCCGGCTGAGAACAGATGAGCAGTGGGCGGGGGGCCAATGTGTTCATCCGGGACCTCTGAGAAGCAGGTGTCAGGACGAGGGTGAATCGGGCAAGGATCGTATTAAAGAAGATCGCTGCATAGGAGGGAAGAAGGCGGTGTTGCCAGTCTGAGCCCAAGGGAGGCAGAGAAGGTCAGCAGAGGCATTCTAAGAGTGGCATTGGTGCTATATCTAAAGGAAGGTTCCACAGGGCCCTGCTGCCCTCAGTCGTTGGCAGGGAAGAGCCTGTGGGAAGCGTGCCCTTGGCCTCCCCGCAGAGACGACATTGAGAGCGCAGCACAGGGCCGGCGGCCAGCTCTGCTCCCTGGAGCCGGAGGCCCGAGCAGGACACGCCAGCCACAGCCAGGGCCCCAGGCCAGCTCTGTCCTCACCGCGGCCTGCAGTGTAGCAGTCGAAGGAGTCTGAGAATTTTCCTTGAACTCGGCCTTACGGGTCGTTGCAACAGTATTTTTCAAGGTCAGCCAACAGAACGTATTCTATTCAACAGTGTGTTAGTTTGCTTTATACCTTTGAAATATTTAGTCACATGGTATGTGGGCCTGCATGTGGATTCTTACCCTGGCCCCTCAAGCCTTAGTGGGGGGCTCTTTGACCCTTTGTCCAGCCTCCCTGTCAGCCCTCTACCCTTAGGGACCTCCCAGTCGGCCTCCTCTCGTCTCCTTCTAAATCACCACCTTTAGGTCAGAATGCCTGACTTAACAGATGGGGAAACTGAGGCCCAGGAGGAAGAGCAACTTGCTGAGATGGTCCATGCTCCTCTTGCCTTCCCCTTCGGCTGCTGATTCGCACCCTGTCCTACCCAGTTTTGGCCCCTTCACTCACATTTAAAGATGGGCCAAGAAACGTCTTATTTCATTGTCCACCAGATTGTTTGCCTTGGGGGGTTTGCCTTTTGACAGCTCCAGGCACTAACCCCCGGGGCAACCATGATAGCGAGGATGGCAGGCCAAGCTTCTGGAAGGGCAGGCCTGGGCTGCCTGAGAGTGTTGGAGACGGTGGCCTTCTGGCTCGGTCTGGAGGGGAGAGGATTGACCCAACCTGCAATATTCCCCAAGTCCAGTCTACAGTGATGGGTTCAAAGGCCAGGCCCAACCATGAGGGAATGTGTCGTGTGCATCTGTACCCAGGGCTGAGGTTCAGACGGTTCCATTTCTCCACTTACCAAGTCCCACACATCATGTAAGATCCTGTCTGAGTCCTACCTTGACCCAGAGCTTTTCCTGACAGCCCGGCCCCCAGGGACCCCTTTTTGAATCCCCTCTCTGTACCCCTGAACCATAGGTCTGTGCCCATGTGAAGCTAATCCAAAGGGTATTCTGGAGAGATCTGTGTCCCACCCTCCCATCCGGCTGAGAGCAGCCTCCAGATGGCGGATGGCGGTGGTGAGGGCGCTTTGTGTTCTGCGCAGCAACCCAGCCGGGCACAGAGCAGGTGCTCGAAAAACAGTACACTCTTTAGGCCCTTTTGCTTGGCGTTTGTCACATACTATGTTCTCTAGACTCATGTGTCTCCCCAGAATTCCTCTCTAGAAATCCTAACCCCCAGTGTGATGGTATTAGGTGCTGGGGCCTTGGGGAGGTGATTGGCTCATGAGGGTGGAACTCTCATGGATGGGATCGGTGCCCTTCTAAAAGAGACCCCAGGGAGCCCCCTCGCCCTTCCTGCCACATGAGGACGCAGGAAGGAGATGGCCATCTGTGCACCAGCAAGAGGGCTCTCTCCAGACACAGAACCTGCCAGCGCCTTGATCCCAGACTTCCCAGCCCCCCAGAACTGTGAGAAATAAATGTCTGTTGCTTGTCAGCCCCCCCGCCCCCGGGTCTATGGTATTTTGTTAAAGCCACCCAAACAGACGGAGACACGTTGCCGGCCATACGCAGGACAGAGCGGCTTCCCTGAGAGTTTTTAGCTACTGCCTTTTTGGCCTGCAGGACCAGCTCCCGAATTTGCGGGGCCTCATGCAAAATGAAAAAGTGGGGCCTCCTGTTATTAAGACTGGCCAGACAACAGAGCATGAAACCAAGCGCGGGCCCCGTGAGGCTGCAGAGCTTGCGTGCCCGTGAAGCTGGCCCTGGGTGCCTGAGAATATGAACTGTTCACCTCGGCAGAGAATGCCCCTGGGGTTCACTGGCATCTCCTTTGACCTCCACCACCAAGGGAACTAGGTGTGGGACCAGAGGCCGTATACGAAATACGGAACAACCACCATGGCAAAGGAACTGAGCTACGAGAATGCATTCCACGTGCCGCAGCCTGACGTGGGCAGAACCACAGCCTGGCGGGCAAGTCCAACTCTTCGAAGGAGGAAACGGGTTCAAGCGATTCATTCAAAGTGACCATTTTTCCAGTCCTCTCCTGTAGCATCTGACTTCTGCCCGCCAGTGATTCCGTGAGCCTGAAAGTTTCCTCTAGGGTTAAAAGATAAAGAGTTTGCTAAATAAATCAATACTTTGCTCGACTTGTATTCTTTTGGGAAAGATCTACAGCCCTGGAATCAGCCAGAGCTGGTTTCAAGTAATGATTCGGCTGGTTCCTGTGTAACCTTGGGCAAGTTGTTTAACCTCTCTGAGCCTGCATAAGATGGGGAGGAAAGGCTCTGCCCTCGCAGGGTTACTGTCCTATTTTAATAATACAGTGTTTCTCAAGAGCCTGGCACATAGAGGCATTCTGTATCTGAAGGCAGATGTAGGGCAAGAACAGAGGGTCTCCCAGCACAAAAGGGCTCCTCACAGAGCCAAGGAGAGTGTGGCAGGCTCTGGGAGGCCCCCTGATCCCGGCCCCAAGGCTCTGCTCCAGCCCAGAGGACCCGTAAGGAAGCCAGGATGCCGCAGGCTGGTAGACAGTCTGACTGGGGCCATTGTTACGGCTTCCTGCTAACCAGACTCTGGCTTGATCATGAATGACAGCTGGGCAGCCACTGTCCTCACCTCCTCAGCCCAGCCCTCCCCCAGGCTCAGAAGGGAATCCTCCTCAAGCAGGTAATGTTGGGGGCCTTGGGAAGTCCATCCGCGCTCAGTACTGAAGAGAAATGTGGAAGCCATCTTGGCCAGTTGAAAGCCTGTGTGCGGAGATGTGGCTTTTCTGCCCACCCCAGGCCTGTTGGCTGCGTATACTGGTGCAGCTGGGCTCACGTGTGCACAGGTATACTCCTGGTCTGTCTGCAGCTCTTCAGGGCACTGTTTAAGAACAGTTGCGGTTGCAAGACATGTGGGAGGGTCAACGCCCAGGCAGGGGGCAGTGAATTTGCAGATATAATGACCCTCCAAAAGGCAACTGAGAGGAACAGGCCAGCAAAGGGGAGCTGGGCAACCAGTTCAAGTGGCCTGCCCCGTGTAGCTCTTTGCAGGAGCAGACAAGGAGGGAGAGCAACCCCGTCCCACTAGGGTGTCAGATCCTGCACCAGCCCTTCTTGCAAAAGTCAGCACGTCAAAGTTATTTATTGTGGTGTTGCTTATAATCGAAAACACTGGAAACAACCTAAGTGCCCGTACATGGGAGAGTAGTTGAATAAACCATGATACCTCCACACCATGGAGTGCCATGCAGCTTTGAAAACGAATGCGGATGATCTCTATGAACTGATACGGAAAGATCTGCAAGATACACAGCTAAACGAGAACAACATAAAAGCAAAGCACCAAGAGTATTTAGAGGATGCGACCTTTCATGTAAGAAAGAAAGAGTATAAGCAAACATTTATGCATCTGCTCACTTGTGATACAAATATATATTATATGAAAATATATATTATAT